ATCCATTTGCAGAGCCCCCACATACATTAAACCTCCATTGAATCCCATTTGACCATTGACGAAGAATGGGAACAGTCTTGCCCTCAGACACAGAGAATTGGAAAGTGGATTACCTCCACCCTCTGACCAGCCTAGGGAGGGCAAATCTCCATTAGGGACTTACCTAGGTGTGTCCCCTCTGCCTTATATAAAGCACGTGTCCATAACACAGCTCTCAAAACACATGTTCCACCAGTAACTATGTTTTACTGATATGCTGCCAATCATATTTATGTGACAGTCTTTCTGATCTCCTGTGTCCTTTTCAAAGTTACATATTTCAGCAAATTCTGGGAAAACATTATGACTGTTATGCTAATGGTCTCCCCCATTTTGATGATAAGATCCTGAGGCAAGACTATGGTTGTTAGCCACCCTCCAGATCTGGAACAGAATTAGCTAGTTAGTAAGGACAGAGGACTAGAAACCAGAAACAGGAGAAAATGGGATGATTGAGGGAATTGTAATAAATAAATTGAGACAAAAATAAATTGTTGAATGTAAAGCTGATTATATCCTCTGTAAACCTTCATCTAATTCAAAATAAAACATTTTTTAAAGAAACATAACCAAAATCATATGCTACCAAATAAGGGATTCTCATGACATTTTAAAAGCAATCATATTCCCCTAATCGATTCAAATGAGCACTCAAAAGTTAATCAAGTTACTGTACATGTAAATGAAATTGTTGTTTTTTGGGTGTTTCTTTCTTGTTGCACATATGAAATAACAATTGTTAACCAATCTTCTTCTTGACATTTTTGAGGCTTATCTGCATCATAAAATATCTTCCCTCAGAAAATACTAATAGAGTATCTCCTAGTAAAACACAGTAGTCCTCAGCAATAATAATTGCTTTTTAAAACATAAAATAAACATTCTGAGATCCCATTTTGCATGCTTTCCTTTAAATTAGTCTCCTTTGTGCTCAGAAAAACAACAACAAAGAACCAGGACTATCATCGTAAGCATCAGGGAGCAGCCCTAGATAGCTCTGACCCCCGAACCAGAGCAAAGGAAGGAACCTCAGCTGACCTGCTGACTTCAAGTCATTTGAAAATGACTCCTCATTTGAAAAAAAAAGATATTTTAGGTAAAGGAATAAATTTTAGTTTATATTCCCCTAAGAAGGCTGTCCCAAATATTTTCCTTACCAAAAGGCATCCCGGAGTACCAATCAATCAGAACAGACACCGAATATAAACAACAGGGCACAATATCGTTTCCTCCCTGGTTAGTGCAAATGAAGTGTTCAACTGATCACTGAAAGGTTGGAGGTTCAAATCCACAGTCACGCCTTGGAAGAAACACCTGGCTACTTCCAGAAAGTAAATCTTTGGAAATGCTATGGAGCTACAGTTTTACTCAGAAACATATGGGGCCCCCATGAGTCAATTTCCTCCACCTCTTGCTCTGTCTCAGCTCCATTTTTCATTCTACATTGTATTCTATTTTAAAATTTTCAATTTAACTTTAAATAAAAATAAATGCCGTAGCTTAAAAATGTATATTTGCTTAATATATAAACAAATAAGTTTGGCTTTATGATTTAGCTTTATATTTATTACTGTATCTAACACCAAGATGTTATCTTTAAGAATTTGTAAGTGCCCCAATTCTGCCTTGCAGATCTGGCTAGACCAGATGATGCACAGCAGTAGAGATGGGAATTGGAAATGCAGGGAATCTAGGACAGATGAACCACTCAGGACCAGGGGTGACAGTGGTGATACCAGGAGGGAAGGGGGGTGTAAAAAGGGGGAATTGATCACAGAGAGCTACATATAACCTCCTCTCTGGGGGATGGGCAACAGAGGGGTAGGTGAAGGGAGACGCCGGGCAGTGTAATATAAGATATAATAATAATTTATAA